AATTTGTTGTTTCGCCTTTTTGAATATTAATTAAGATTTTCGATTAGTTGCCTAAAAATCCTCAAAGAATTCTCGTAAACAGCTTTCAATCGAAAAATATAATTTGGTGATGGTACCGGAACAGATTTTCGAAAAATTCGGTTTGAAAATTATGATTTTTTTAATATTTGGAAAATTGTCTTTAGTTAATTTTAAGAGTGGTGGAAAGTGGTCAAAAATTCATATGGAGGGTATTGAAAAATAACAATTTTTGTATAGCTGATTCGAAAAATATTACTTGTTGATGGTACGAAGACCAAAATTTTCGAAAAATTGACTTTGAAACTATTGATTTTAGAAGATGTCATTTTTCGTTTTATCTGTTCTGGAACATTCTGGAAAATCTGAAAGTTTTGTATTGGTGATTCGAAAAATATCAAGTATTGATGGTACCGTATCGAGATTTTCGAAAAATTGGATCTGAAACAGTTCTTTTAGAATACCTCGAAAATTGTCATTTTTATTTCATCCATTCTGGAATAATTGTTGGAATTATCGAGAACATAAAGACGGAAAAAATTTGGAGAATTTTAGATCTACAATAAAATGTCTTTTGGTAATTTTCGAATACTAGTGGAAAATGGTAAAAAATTCATACAGGGGGTACTAAAAAATTGAAATTTTTGTATAATTGATTTCAAAAATGTGACTTGTTGATGGAACCGAACTAAATTTTTCGAAAAATTGTGTTTAAAACAGTTGCTTTTCGAATATCTCGAAATTTGTCATTTTTCATTTTAACTAATCTGGAACAATTATCGAAGACATAGGGACGGAATTTGGAAATAGTCAAAAATTTATTTAGGCTGGCGGGGATATTGAGATTTTTGAATAGTTGGCTCAAAAACATCACTTCTTGATGCTAACATACCAAGACTTTCGGTTTGAAAATCTTTTAATATTTCAAAAATTTTTATTTTCATTTTATTCAATCTAAAAGAATTGTTGAAATTATCGAAGAAATGAATCCTGAAATAATTTTGACTTATCTAAGTCTACACAAAAATGTATTTGGGTAATTTTCGAAGAGTGGTAGGAAAGGGTCAAATATTCATATGGGAAGGTTAAATTGAGATTTTTGTATAGTTGATTCAACACAACACAACACTTGTTGCTGGTACTGGACAAAAATTTTCGAAAAATTGAGTTTGAAAATGTTGTTTTTACAATACCGCGAAAGTCTTTAGGTAATTTTCGAAGAGTAGTGGAAAATGGTCAAAAAATCATACAGGGGGTACTAAAAAATTGAGATTTTTGTATAATTGATTCCAAAAACATCATTTCTTGATTAAACCGGACTAAGATTTTCGAAAAAATGTGTTTAAAACAGTTGTTTTCAGAAAATCTCGAAAATTATCATTTTTTATTTTACCTAATCTGGAACAATTGTTGGAATTATCGAGGACATAAGGACGGAAATTGGAAATAGTCAAAAATTTATTTTGGTTGGCGGGGATATTGAGATTTTTGAATAGTTGGCTCAAAAAACATCACTTCTTGATGCTAACATACCAAGACTTTCGAAAATTTCGATTTGAAAGTCTTTTAATATTGCAAAAATTTTGATTTCCATTTTATTCAATCTAAAAAAATTGTTGAAATTATCGAAGAAATGAATCCGCAAATAATTTTGACTTATCTAAATCTACACTAAAATGTCTTTAGGTAATTTTCGAAGAGTGGTAGAAAACGGTCAAATATTCGTATGGTAAGGTTTTGAAAAGTTGAGATTTGGTATAGTTGATTCGAAAAACATCAGTTGTTGATGGTACCGAACCAATATTTTCGAAAAATTGGGTTTGAAAATGTTGTTTTTAAAATACTTCGAAAGTCTTTAGGTAATTTTCGAAGAGTCGTGGAAAATAGTCAAAAAATCATACGCGGGCTACCGAAAAATTGACATTTTTGTATAGTTCATTCGAAAAACATCACTTGTTGATGGAACCGGACCAAGTTTTTCGGAAAATTGTGTTTAAAACAGTTGTTTTTAGAAAATCTCCAAAAATTATCGTTTTTCATTTTACCTAATCTGGAACAATTGTTGGAATTATCGAAGACACAAAAACGGAAATAATTTCGACACATTTAAATCTACAAGAAAATGTCGTTTTCGAAGAATGGTGGGAAATAGTCAAAAATTCATTTACGGTGGCGCGGATATTGAAATCTTGAGATTTCTGAATAGTGACTCAAAAAACATCCTTTGTTTATGATAACATATCAAAAAATTTGAAAATCTTTTAATATTTCGAAAATTTTGATTTTTTATTTTATTCAATCTGAAAAATTGTTGAAATTATCGAAGAAATGAATCCTGAAACAATTTTGACTTATCTAAATCTACACTAAAATGTCTTTGGGTAATTTTCGAGAGTGGTAGAAAAGGGTTAAACATTCATAAGGGAAGGTATTGATAAATTGAGATTTTTGTATAGTTGATTAAAAAAACAACACTTGTTGATGGTACCGGACCAAAATTTTCGAAAAATTGGGTTTGAAAATGTTATTTTCAAAATACCACGAAAGTCTTTAGGTAATTTTCGAAGAGTAGTGGAAAATGGTCAAAAAATCATACAGGGGGTACTAAAAAATTGATATTTCTGTATAACTGATTCCAAAAACATCATGTGTTGATTGAACCGGACTAAGATTTTCGAAAAATTGTGTTTAAAACAGTTGTTTTTATAGTATTTCGTAATTTGTTCTTTTTCATTTTATCCAATCTGAAGCAATTGTTGGAATTATCGAAGACATAAAGACGGAAATAATTTCGAGAAGTTTAAATCTACAAGAAAATATTTTTTTCGGAGATGGTGGGAAATAGTCAAAAATTCATTTAGGGTGGCGGGTATATTGAGATTTTTGCATAGTTGACTCAAAAAACATCACTTGTTGATGATAACAGGCCAAGATTTTCGAAAAATTCAGTTTAAAGATCTTTTAATATTCCGAAAATTTTGATTTTTATTTTATTCAATGTGGAAAAATTTATGGAATTATCGAAAACGTCTTTAAGTAATTTTGAAAGAGCAGTGGAGAACGGTAAAAAATTCATACGAGGGGTATTGAAAAATTGCAACTTTTGAATAGTTTATTCGAAAAACATTTGATGCTACCGGACCAAGGTTTTCAAAAAATTCAATTATTTTAATAATATCTGGAAAATTGTCATTTTTCATTTTATCTATTCTGGAAAAATTTTAGAAGCACCGAAGAAATAAAGCCGGAAGTACTTTCGACATTGGGTGGTTTTGAAAACCGTTTTACTTTTGAGGAAAGACCTATACACTCCGTTGAAATTGGTTTGTAATTAGTGATCTCATACATATTTCTGAAAACATTCTGGAGATAATCTAAAAAAAAATGACAGATCATTATGATTAATCAATAGTTCCCCATACTTCGAATCATATGTTTCCATAGCCAATTTGACCACGTCCTTTATGATGACCCTGTATAGACATCTTTAAATTTATAATATCAGAAAGTAATGGGCAAAGTATCGCGAAATAAAGCAAGGAAATCTGGAGAATATATCAAGGAATGAGAGCGAAGAAAAAAAATTGACGTGGTCACACTCTAAGGGAAATCTGACGAAATGAAAATTTTAGAGGACTGAAATACGACTACAGCACGCTATGTCTGCATGAAATTATGCAAGACAATGTATGCCAGTGCAGTTAAAAATAAAAAGAGTCATTACAATCATGGCTAAGGGGTGAAAGTTGGAAAACAGATTGTAATATAGCGAAGGAGCAACCAAAAAACACGATCAAAGACTTATATTGATAGAATTTTCATCTTGTCAACTTACCCTTAATTTGAAAGTCGGAAACGCACCATATCTTCAGTCAAACATTATACAGTGTGTATAGTGGTCTTAACACACGTCATGACTAAAAGACAAAATTAAAATTTTGTTTTTATTACACATACATTTTTGATTTGGGTAAATTTTCTAGAAAAACGGATTTCAATCATCAACAATGAATAACAGTTACTAGTACGACTACTATTAATTATTTTAAAAATAACATGTTGCAATATTGCGTAAAGAATCTCAATGAATTTTATTTTCATGTGCGACGTCACAGTTTTGGAATCAATGAGATTCCGCTCCAAGCGTCATTAACAAAAATAGCAAGAGAGTTAGAGTTAGATACGATAATTAGAAATCGATAGAAAAAATAAAATCTGAACTGTTGTGGAAAAAGCTGCTGTTAAATTTTTGATGAACATAAAAACGGCACGAAACTGCTGATCGTAGGTGGGTGCAAAACGAACAAAAGTAAAACAATAAACATTAACGCTATACCAAATACATAATTATATGTGTGTTTAAAAGATAATTCCTTCATTAACTGAACTAATCATTTTCAACATTCATGAAGTGAAGCCGTCAAAAAACAAAAACAAAATAAATTTCCTGGAACTGCCAAAATATCTCAGTTTTTAAATAAAGAGTACATTCCACTTGATCCGTCATTAAAACTACTTATAAATATACACCCAACATAATCCCCCCAGATGCCAACTTTTCAGCATTAAATCAAAATTCTGAAATATTTTAAAGGAAAATAAAACAATATTTTTGAACAGACACTAAACCACTCGTCTTTTCATCTAGACATCCGCTTGTTTGCTTTTCGATATTTCGTGTTCTAATAGTGTCACCAGAGATTATCAAACTAATCAAACTTAAACCAAAGACGTAAATCATGTAATCGTTATAGTAAATAACTGGTGGATCAGCTCAACGATGCTATATCGACTACTTCTCGGATAAACCTAGGTAAAGTCGAACTTAGGAAAAACAGTGCGAGGCATTAGTCGAGAAAACTTAAAGTGTGTCACAGTTCTATTCACTTAAGAGAATATCCAAAGGATCAAGTCGCTGAACATATCAGCAGCGTTCCGACTCGATCCATCGGTTCCAGCGGCCTTGCCCAGCAAGGATTTACCTTAACTTGCGGACTGACTAGATAGAGGAGAGGGTTGGCACGAAGTCGTTCGGTTTCTTCATGTTGGCGGCGAACCTCCTCCCTGCGCGCCGACCCCAGATAGGACACCTCCTCCCTGGACATGGCACCGGTGCTCCTGGGCAGATCCTGAAAATCGGGCAGTGATTTCTTGCGTTGCAACGTAGTAGACTGCGGCACCAGATTCTGCCAACACACATCACAAACCGGTCAAGCGCCTAATTCGCTGCAGCCGTGGAAAAATTTCAGGAAAGCTCTAAAACTACAACTGCTGTTTTGCCCAAATTAAGCGACGAAGTATGGATTTGCTGATGGTTTAATGGGTTTTGTCACGCAACGCTAAGTGTTGGTGCTTGAGAGCCAAGAAATCGTCCATGAAAAAGTCCAACTGTTTGTGTTCCATTACAGCTGGGTACAAGATTTGACAAATTAACTTGTAACGGATCCATTAACGTTTCAAAGCTTTTAGCGAACCGCGAAAAGTTTTTCTGCAAATGTGTTACATCAAACTTTACACAAACGACGGCTCAAAGAGAAATAAGGAAATGAGTTTTAAATATATTAAATAAAAGAATTTAATTTTTCAAATTAAAACAAAAACAAAACAAAATTTTGTTTGAGAAGTAATTATGTTATAACGGTTACAACTAAGTTGATGATATTACTCAATTATGCTCAATGAATAGAATAATTACAATGAAATTTGAAAAAAATGTGTATTTTGCTTCCAAAATCGTACACTTGGCAAATATTGAAGTGTCCTAAGTTGTCAATAACGTGAACAAATTTTTGCCTAACATCTATAAAAAATCTGGTAAGTGACTTATTTTTTTGTTTTCGCGCTATTTTAGTTTAAAAAGTGAATTTAAACTCTTTTCTAAGTCTTGAACATGTCTGAGTCATTTTTGGCGTAGCGTGAAACTTTCTCTAACGAAGTATTTTTATCCATACTAACGTGAATCAACAGGTGGTGCATTTTCCGTGTCATAGATAAGAGAAGTATTGTAAAAGAATCTCATTTCATGTTTTCACAGAGTTTCGTAGCTTGTGTAATATAGAGTATCTCGACAACTACCGAACCGATTACTTTGAAGTTTTGGTTAACCTGAAGCGGAGTAAAGTTTTGGTTATCTGTTTTGACAGTCCATTCCTATTTTTAAATTAAAACAAAATAGTTTTACTCCACAAATTTTATTTTTATTTTTAAAGAAATATTCTGTGCAAAATTTTGCCAAAAAATATAACCCCACTTATGTACATATTTTGTTTTTTACTTCAGAAAGTACTTCAGTTAATTTTCCCAAAATTGTGAAATCAGAGTAATGTTGTAAGTAGTGTTGCACTTTACATACCAAAATAAGTAAATATTCTTTTCCACACCAGGAAATAACGGGTGTTCAAAAGTCATCAAATTGGTGTTGATTTTTTAAATAGAAGAAAACGTAGTGAAAAACGAATGTGTTTTATTACGTCACACTGTTGTGTGTAATTGACATTTCGGCGCTGTCAGCTGTCATCCATTAAATTTGTGGTTCATTGTAAACATACTTCAGAATGTTTACAAAAAATTAAAACCCACTTGATGACTCTTTCAACTGAACACTCGAAATATTTCTTTTAGTCTTAACAAAACCTTTATACAGTTTTCTCAGTTTTGGATCATTTCTTTCAATTTATTTTGATATTTTTTTCTAAAATAAAAATAATAGAACATGAGCACAAAATACATAATAAAATAAAGATTGAAAAAACAAATCATGTAACAAGAAGGCTGATTGTAAAAATAATACAACAAAAAAAATCAAAAACTACTACAAAAATTATTAAAACCAAAATAATACCTCAAAAAATAAAACAAAAAATTATTATTAATTATTATAAGCAATAATTAATTATTATAAGTAATAATTAATTATTATAAGTAATAATTAATTGTATGATATGTGGTTAAGGACACTGTTTTCTGAACAAAGAAAAAAATTTTTAGAAATTCTTGGGCCCAAAAAGTTAGGTCTTCAAAGTGTAATGAATAATAAATCCTTCCAAATAAAATTTCGTCGAAAATTTAACTGAAAAGCAAAATTTTACGAAAATGCGAGCAATGTTTTTGATAAAATCCAGACTGAATTCAATTTAAATTATCTATTTAATACTTTTTTATGATTTTTTTTTTAGTTATTGTAAAATTTCGTTCTACAATTTTAATTTAATAAAAGTGACCGGTTTTTTATCAGTGCGTTAACTTTAAAGTATAGTATCCGAAATACTACAAGGTTATATGGCTGTTGTAAAATTAGGATATTGTGAAGACAATAATGGAGCAGTCATTAAGGCAAGTTGTAAATCTTTGCGACTTTTAAGCAGTTACCCAGATAGTGAGGTGGCAAGAAAAATCCTTGATTTATGACGCTAGGTTTGAGTCGGTAACTAGCCGCACAGAAGAAATTATAACATCCCATTATTAAGTTTAGTGGGGCCATATAACCTTGTAGGATTTAGGAGTTTATACATCAAAAATTTCAAACAAATATTTTGATACGCAGAAAAGACATTTTCCTATTCGTAAACTTTATGGAACATAGATAAAATATGAAATTTCTCAAAATAACACTAACATAATATTTCGCTTATTAGTTTTCAGTAGAGAAATAAAAAAAAAAAATTTCTATAGAACAAATTTTGAAATAGAAAATAATGGAACAAAACAAAGAAACGGAAAAATAGAAAGAGAAGGACATGAAACAAACTGCCTTTTCAGAAATTCTCGTAATTCTCATCAACCTTAATTAAACAAATTGGCGCCTTTCGTAAAAGTTCAAACTTGGTATTATAAAGTCTCGTCATGAATAATGATACAGATTTTTCGAAAAATTATAAAATTTGATTTTGCAAACTTTTATTCAATTTATGATAATCCCCATAATTAAAAAAATATAGAAAACACAACTCACAGGAAAAAACACTCACACAGAGAGCACAAGTCCGAGAATCATCAATTCCACTCGAGCACGAAGAATTTGGTATAGAAGTGATAACGTGTGTTCAATTGAAAAATCACTCAGAGTAGGCGTTGGACTTTCATTTGATGCAAACGGCATGGCTATTCTTATAACAGCCATTTGGCAGAAACATAACCTTACATTTCAAAACAAACAGCTTCTGTCACATATTCAACCATTCCAATGGTTTGTTTTAAAATGAATGGTTATGTTTCTGCTAAATGGATGTTATAAGAATAAACATGACGTTTGTCTCAAATGAAACTTCAACGCCTACTCCAAGTGATTTTTCAGTTGAACACCCGTTATATTGGCTGCATAGACCACGTGCAAAATATTACAAAAACATAATTTTTGGAAAGTAATTGTGATTAAAATCAAGGCGGATTCATAAACCATAAGTACAGGGGTATATTATTCCATAAAATTTAGATAATCTAGCAACGCAAAGTGATGAGGGAATTGAACTGTTGGTGGGGATGAGTGGACAAATTTTGTTTATCGTTTTACCATCTGCAGGATATTCCTAACATACGTACAAAACATGATCGTTTTCCGGGTTGGAACCGTGTTAATTGAGTTTTTGGGCTCAACGTTTCGCACACTTTCGTAAGTGCAGGAGGAGGGTTAAGAAAAAAGACAAAAGAGCACGGTAACTCAGTATGTCAACCATACCAGAAGCGAAGTTCTTTTGACGGGAAGAATTTGGTTACGACTTATTTATAGTATGGTTGATATACTAAGTTACCGTGCTCTTTTGCCTGTTTTCTTAACCCTCCTCCTGAAGATGCCACTTACAAAATGTGTGAGACCAAAAACTCAATTTACACGGTTCCAACCCGGAAAACGATCATGTATTGATTCCGACCGTGCAAGCGTCCGAAATTATATACGTACAAAATTTGGCAACAATCGGGCCTGTAGTTTCGGAAATTATCTGTCCAATATAAATCAACACAGACGACAGACAGATGGAAACGCGAAATCTACACTACCGTTCATAAATATTTAGGCACTAACGTTTTTGGAAAAAAAAAAGATTTTTTTGTATTTAGACACGGCTGCATTTTTTCAAATGAAGAAATAATGTACTTTTAATTAAATAATTGCATATTACTAATTGTATCTTATTTAATATTTAATTTCTTTTAAATACAGTCATTTTTTTGTTTAATTTGTTTTCAAAATTTGAGATAAAATTGGTGTGATATATTTTTCACTTCGAATTTTTTTTTTTTTTTGAATAGTTGACTGACTAATATTTTTATATGACGATAACACTGCTGTTTTTTTTAACAAAACTGACAAAAAAAATCTTTACATGCATGGGCCTTGATAGTTGGTAAGCATAAATTACGAATAATTACGAATAGAACAATCGCCAGAAAAATGAAGATGCCTTGCCACAGTCGATTAGATTATCAAAAAATTTTAAAAAATCAGTAAACTGTAGCGCCCAATTATTTGTGGACGGTATTGTAATTTTCATAGTCTAGGGGTCATGAAACGTCGAGACAACATGAAATTAGCAAATCGCCCGATGAACTCAGTTACAATACTCCGTTAGCTTATGCTTGGGAAAGAAAAATAATATATCTCAACAAAAAATAGTGGAATACGAAAAGAGTGAACACTGTAGAAAAAACGTATATGGAACACACAAACAACGAAATCAAAAGATCAATGTTAAAATATATATATACGAAGACTGAATTCAAGGATTACATCCATGATAAAAAATAACATAAAAGAAACAAAACTGTCAAACTCTCTCAACGGTCAAGCATTTTGACCATAACATACATAAATGTCGCAAACATGACATTCCCCAACCAGAATTAACAAGCGAAATTTTTAAAGCCGAACTCCTTTTTTGACTCGATGATAACACAAAAATTCGTATAAAAATTTCGAACTAGAACAAATAAATTTCAACGAAATGATGAAAACAATCACGGGCTGCAAAAACTGCTATTTAAATATTTGATCAGTCAGGAAGCAATAAATAAAAGTGGAACATAATATATCCAGTCTAGTACACATATGTTTAATGAACCTAAAAAATACAGTGACACCACATAATTTTTGGGAAATTCAATAAACAAGGCAGTGTTGAAAGTTTAAGAGTTTGTAAATTTCGAAATTGCAGTCGAAATTCTTTTTCTAGACCAAGTTGTAAGCAGTGGT